GCTCGGCCGTGGCGTCTCCGTCGGGTGGTGCATTGCGAGGGCAGGAAGGTGGTGGGAATGGGCAGCTCTTAGCTCATGTCCATGGACTCTGAGGTGGGCAGGGAAGCAGAGTCTTTCTGAATACTCTCAAAAAGTGACGCCATTTCAGGGCTGGACTTGATCTGCGATGAAAACTCGGCCATCGCTGGACTCTTCTCTACTTCAGGGATGGTCAGGAGAGCGGCTACTGCTCTCATGGCAGATCGTTTCAGCTCATCCTGCTTCTCAAACTCCTGTTTCACGGAACCAGCTTTTACCTACAAGCCCAAAGCACCGTTTTCAGTTGGCATTCAGAAAAGGCAGTAGAGGCACAGAGCATCGGATACGTTCAGCCAGAGACAGAGACGAGCAGATGATTTTCTAGCTGGAGAGGCGTGGGGAGGGGGCTGCTCAGCAGCAGTGACAGACAATGCTGACAGCACAGGTGGCTTTGGGGCAGAACCCACCCCAGTGCGTCACGCTCGCTGCCTAATCTTACCTTTGTGGAGCACGTTGCTCGGAGCGGCTCAATCAGTCGCTCGAGCCGTTGCAGCACGGCGTTGGGGCAGAGCGCGGAGAGCCGTGCCAGCATTATGAAAGTCAGCATCTAGGCAAAGGAAAGAGAACACAGGCGTTGCTGCCGGGCACCTCCGATACCCCCGGCCTGGAGCGTGGATCCTCTCTGCCGGAGCCCGCGGGGCCGCTCTCCCTGCGGCGTCACGCTGTGCTCAGCAGCAGCGAGTCTGCACGCGTGCAAGGGGGGTGGTAAGAGCTTTGGCCCTATGAGAAATGCACCAACGCAGAGCAGTCGCCCCGCTGGGCACCGGTGCCAGGCGCGTGTGGCGCTCTGCTCGCGGGTGGCTGGAAACGGCTGAGAGCCTTTGAGAGAAACGAACTGGGATCGTGCCAATGCTGTGCCCACGACTAAGTGGGGTAAATCAAGTAACAGTAGTAAAAGATGCAGTGCTTCCTGTTGAGCTGTGAGGCCATCGACAACGACAATGCTGAATTTTTTTATATAGTATCATGACTAAGTGGGGCAAATCAAGTAACAGTAATAAAAGATGCAGTGCTTCCTGTTGAGCTATGAGGCCATCGACGACAATGCTGAATTTTTTTATATAGTATCACTGGCCACGCTGAGCAAGTGACAATTCATAGACATTTTAGACTTTGGTAAAAACCAGCTACACCAGGCTTGTGTTTTTAAGGCCACTGTGGTCAAACTAGAGCTGCACAACATCCAGAGAGCAGGAGACGGCAGGGGCCCCCATGCTGTGCTGCTGTACCAGCTCAGTTCAAGCCCAGGGAACTGAGCATCTATCAGTGATGCCACCCCCCTCCAGCAGTTGAGACACAGCATCTACCCGAATGTCATAGTGATCCTTCAGTCCATCCTCCACATGGTTCAGGTACTCGTAGATATCCAGTCGGTCAAGGCAGCTTTCCAGCAGTGTGTACATGCATTCGAAAGCAGCTTTCCTCACGTCAAGGCCATCATCCACTGTGTGCTTGAATGGCCCCATTTCTACCTTAAATAAGAAAAAAATACAGCTGTCACCTAACAGCAGGCTGGGTGACGGCTCCATCTCAGCTTCACGCGCACCGAGTCGCAGCCGTACTGCACCCGGGCCCAGCTGGTGACATACCTCCCGGATGAGTTCCCTTCTGACCTTCGTTTCGTTATACAGGCTGGGGAGAGCTGTGCTTAACAAATCTCGGATTAAAGAAGGTTTGTTGTGAGCTGCAGAATTGAACATGGCTAAAGCCACACGCCGAACATTCAGGTCTGGATCCTGAAGAGTTTTTAAGAAGTCACCTGTGGGATCAGAACACACCGGTCAGTCCTGCTGCAGTGTTTTATCAGCATTTCAAAAGCGCATCACGACGTATTTCCAGGAGCCTGGCGACGAAAGCACCTGCGGTAAAATACCCGTAGGGCGCCGTCTAACAGACGTTAGAGATACTTTCCCTCCCTTCGTTTGGGATATAGCAGATGGAAGAAACACGACTTTCCTGCATATGGGCACAAAAAAACCCGACACTGATTCTAGCTACCTCATCCTAAAGTCAAATCAGAAGCTTTGGTATTCAAGGAAGTTGTTTGGTTTTTTTTATTGCTTAGATCTCATCTGCTCAGACTTTTCTGAAACAGAAGGCCCAGTTTTATACAACAGATCCAAGAGGCAGGTTCCCTGGACATAAGATCCTTTTAAGGTAGGTCAGATTTTACAGGATCCTTGCCATGAGATGCTTGAATCATGAGTTTAAATGAAGAAAGAACTTGCAGTCCCCATGTTCCACCAATGGAACACGCCCAAGAGCAAGGTATCAGAGCATTTAACGACGACTCACGAGACAAGTGTTGCTCGGTAATCCCCAAAGCAGAGAAACACAGATAAAAACTGGATGAGGTTCACAAAGGTGTGAAAAATCCCTGAGCTGCTAATGACATCGAACATCCTGAGATCCCAGCTCACAGTGCTGTTGGCACCAGCCTACCTATGCAGCCTTTCAGGAGAGCATCAACGGGCTGAGGCTGGTCTGCAATTGTGAATTTGATTGCAGTCACCACCGTGCTCCGGGCATGTGGAGAGCCTGCGATGGAGACGGAAAGAAAAAACAGTGAAAGATCAAGAGAAAAAAATCATTGCTGTAATTCTGAAGTACATATTTCTGCTCTTGGTCACATCACGCGTGCATTCCAGGGGTAAGAGAA